TTCAACGAAAAGCTATGTCCTACATGCCATGATTTTGTGCTTGACCGATGATATTTGTGCAAATCTGGCGGTTATATCCGCCGGTCTGCAGACTCTGCAGGCCGTCTTCCTCGACTCGGTGCCATCTCAGGGCTATCTTGCCAGGCATCGGTACTTCGATGCCAACCGTTCTTGCCGTGGCCTTTTCTTCTGCATTGGCATCCTCGAGAGGGTATCGATCAAGCTGCACATAGTCACTTGGCGTCAGCTGCTACCAGGGCGACCGGCTGTCAAAGCGTTCCATCTCCATCACTGCGTCCCCCTCCAACACACACAAGCGCACAAACAAGGACGTACGGACCCCGCCTCATACATGCACCCTCTCAGCCACTCACACCCACCGCCCACATATACACATACACATACACGAACACAACCGCACATATAACCAGGCGCATGTGCGCGTGCGGTAACACATAAAGCCTTCACATCACCTCTTTCTCTTCTCGCTTTGAGCACACAGCTTGACCTGAGGTAGAGAGATGTGAGGCGCTGCCAGGCAGGGTAGGAAGCTGAGCGATGTGCGTCATCATTTTGGCACCCTGCTGTCTACGAGGCATCACTCGCCTGGTTGCTGGTGTGCCGTGGAGACCGGGGCAACGGCTGCGTGAAGACAATTTGTAGTTATCTTGCTTAGTTCAATATTCGCAGTCTTTCGGAGACAAGTAATACAGACGATCTGCCTGACTGGTTGCACTCATGCCTCTATTAAGGCCTACATCTACCAGTATTGGCTGTTGAGGATGGGCAGCATTGTGAGTGTGTGTGTGTATGTGTGTGTGCATATATGCTTGCGGACTCCTGTACAACTCGAAGTGAAGGTGCATCGAGGACATGGGAATCACAGGGAGCCTGGTTTGTTGACGGATTCCGGAGGAGATATCGTTGTCTTGTTTTTTGGTAAATCGTCCAATTTTATGCGCTTCGGGAGGAGTGACTGTCAACTTATCTTTGGTCGGAGGGGACTTGTATTGGAAACTGAAAATAGGACGTCAAGACGACTGGAATAACCGCCGAGACATTATGTGCTGGTATGGCACTCATTTCAAGTGAAAGTGTGTGTTAAATAGGCGACTGAGTAGTACTTCTTCGGCCGTTTAACCCATTCCTACGTCTGTCATGAAACCATCATAGCGAAGACGCATTCGTAAAACAACCACAAGAGCCCCAAAAGTCAATAAAACCCATATCTAGAAAATCTGGCGTGTTGTCGTGCCCTATCTGTCCATACTGACGTACACCTACGTATGTGTATGCATGTGCGGATGCATAAATCAGGAGTGCTGTGACTAACTAAGAAAGAGAGAACGAGAGAAAGGGAAGGAAGGAGAGAGGGAGAGTAGAATAAATTTGTCCCATCGACGAAGAAAAGATGCTTTTTGAGGCGTTCTTAGACTGTTTTATCTAATAAAACTTTTAATTTCGAAAAAAAACAATTTAGTCGGAAGTGATTCGTAAAATGATTTCACCAGAAACTGTTCTCGTGCTGCCAATATCATCTATCATAGTAGTATTGATAATTGTCAGCACCAAACTGACGACTTGGTACATTGTTGGGGAGAATTCATTTCGTATGAAAATGCATGAATGATCTGGTGTTAACATGAGACCTTTATAGGAATGAGTTCCAGCTTTGACGATGTCCATTAGCCCGGTCTCAGCCGAAACGAGGAAAGGTGTCTCGTGGACTGGGCCAACATGAACTACTTGATACATTCCAAGACATATTTATAGCGTCTTGACAGTCTTAGCACCAAGCTACAACTCGTCAAAGAGACAAGTAATCAACTTTATGTCGAATCATTGTAGTATCCCTCCTACTAACCTCTTGATACATCCACCTGAGTCGAAACTTGTAGACGATTTTTTCTTGGTTTAGAAAATATCGATGCGGTTTTTTGTAAAGGATACATGCTCATTGTGACTGTTATTCTCTTTTTATAAATGGTCCTGATGTCCCACCTCCTCAGTAATTCACCTATCTTCATTGACGGGTTACACGATGGCAGCATAAAGATCCTGGTTGAGTCATCTATCTTCTTATATAGGCCCAAATATGTATTTTACTTCAATCTATTTGAAGTTATTCTAAAATATTTGCTTCTTATTATCATAGACTTCATAACTCCTATTTCAACCCCATAAGTGTGGTTAGAGAAGAAATTAACAAGGAACCTGCACCCCAGAGCCTCCGGCTTAACCAACTTACGAATCCCTTCCACTCACCTCTACAAACGAAATGAAAGGTACTTCAACATGAATCTTTTAAGAGATTCTTCGAAACCCAAATTTTCTACATTAATGACCTTCTCTTTTTAACCTAATTCCAGACACTTGTTGAGCGTTCTGAGGATAAATGCACAAAGTGTAACCTCAAATAAAACCTTTTTCTTACATCTTACTGTTCACCGAAGAAATTACATTTAGTTTAGTACAAGAGAGGTGTAATGGAATATGTAAATACCATTCATGCATGTTTCGATGCATGAGGAAGGAGGATTGGGACATTTGTGAACATCAGCCTATGCCAGTATACTCCGTAACTTCCTCTCCAAAATTATCATCACGGATTTTTGGGAATACGGATAAGCATAATTAAGGCGAGGTGGTAGATAGGTTTGAACATTTATGTTATTGTGGAGATTACAATTTATTACCTTTATCATTTTTATTAGTTCTCATTTTCTAATCTTGCACTATTGTTTTCATTCTAGAAGAATGGAGCAATGTTCTTACTCAGTGAAAATCATCAACGGGTGTATAAAAGTGGTTCTGTTAACCTGAAATTATGTTGGATTTACTTAAGCTGACCCTCCTCTTTGCACATGCACGAGAACGCTTACTTTTTCGAATGACCCGAAGAATCCGGAGCATCATTTTCGAAGCATTTGCCAATCTCTGAGGGCAACAAAGCGGAGCCCACAATACCGACTCCAGTGTTGAGTAGCCTGCCTGCCTGTTCTCCCCGAAGATAGCAATTGCGTCATTGCAATGGTATTAAAGAGCCACCTAACAATTGCAAGGTCTGCAAAAGGCAACGATGTCAGATCATTCCCTGTTTTCGTTTGAGAAGGAATTCATAAGGAAACCTGCGACCCTCCGGCTTAACCAACTTACAAATCCCTTCCATTCACCTCTTCAAACAAAATAAAAGGTACTTAAAACTGAATCAATTAAGGGATTCTGTGATCGTGACGACGGTGAACTTTGCCAAAACTTCTAATATTAAACTGGTTCGGATATACTTCAAGGGCCTTATGATATTTCCCTTCCGTGTATGAACACTTTTTCAGCTTTTAGCCACCAATAACGCATCCTTTCTGATGCCTCAAATAGTATCAATTCGAGTGCATTTGATCTTAATAGAAAATTAATTAGACAATTACTTGGTTTATATAACCAATAACACTAGTAGCATAAAGAAGTATATATTATTTTAAGCAAAGGTATGTAGACCAAGATGGTGTGGCTTTTTG